TACGCATACTTACATATACCTACGTATGCATATTTTCAAACATCGTACTTCAAAAGCTTCCTAGGCACCCCCTCTCTCTGCCTATGAGCGAAGCCATGTGAAAGCCAGCGGGCAGCCCCGCTTCCCCGGCCCCGGGGCTCACTGTGGTTTTGCGGGAAGACTCCAGCCGGGCTCCCACGATGTGGGGGACAACAGTGAGAACGAAATCTGCACCTGGGAATATCTCTTTCCTGGTCACAGAACAATTACAGCACATCACCAAATGGTGTTGTTGGTTAGTATTACCTGGATCAGTCACTGGGTTTTCATTCACCCTCCACACAAAAATTATTTTGCGATCCGCCAACTATTTCCCAGAGCTTTAGAATGCCCTTTAACTATATTAAGTGGCTGGCACCGGTTTGTCCAAAACAAACATGAACCTCAGGCTTGTGAACTATATTTCTTTCAAGGTCTTCCAGCTGCCGTCACCTATTGATATTTGATTTGCAGCTGCTATTCAAAACAAACAAACAAAATCTCACAGCTTCTTAAACCTTCCTCCACATAAGCCACTGATATTTACTGGGAGCAAGAGCGACAGATAGAGCTCTGTCACACCCGTGCTCACCTGCCTTTAGAAATGAAAGCAAATGTTTAGGAAATTATTTCCTTTCAAGTTTTCAGCCTGCCACTCCAATTCTCCTGGCGTCCCTCCCCGAAGCATCTGATGCTTCCTCCCATGGCCATGAGCATCAGCCAGCATGGACAGACCCTTTGTGGGTGCCTGGCAGTCCCCACAGCAGCATCTTTCCCACCGAATCCACTGCCCAAGAAGTGCATGGGTGGCTTGGCTGCTTGCAGACCACCCAGTTACCAACCTGCTTGAAATAAGCTCCAGCCAGTGGATGTTTAAGACATTAAATGTGTGGGCCTGTGCTGGGGGCATCCCAGAGTAATGCCCTAAAAACACCTTTCCAGACTCTTGTTTGGCTGTTCCCTGGTATAGCCTTGGGGAGCCTCTGTCCTCCCCAGTACAATATTGAGCAACCCACCAAGAATGGGCTTCTGGGCTGCTGCCCCCAGGATCTACTGACATGCATGTCTTCCTCCAGCTGTGGTCACATCGATATTTCCTTTAAATGAGAACCAAACCCCAGGCCCACAACTGTATTTCAGCATGAAACACCAGTTCAGATATTCACTTTCTGCTCATTTTCCATCGGATGTTTCTGGATGCTTCTGCCTTCTGCAGGATGCTCTCCTCTTCCCAGCAACCCCACAGGCTGCCCTTCATTTCATTTGCACGTAACAACTTCCCACACATTAACGTCAGGTGAACCTCGACCTCCAGGCATTAACGGCAACTTTCCTTACGGCTTCAGCGGAGACAGATTTCCCCCACAGGACTTGCTTTATCATGCTACCAGAGTTATTCAAATGCCATTTTCACTGAGCAGCTGCAACAGGTATTGTTATTTGTTTGCTTTTTGTGTCAAAAAGGAGCTACTCAGTGTCTCTTTGCAGCAAGTTGCTGCCACAAAGTTGTTGGGTTTAAAAAAAAAATGCTTTAAGTCTAGTGAAGCAAACAAATCCTTATGTCTTAGCAACAGCTCCTTGCTTATATCGAGGGTGATGTTGATTCAAGAAGCAGCTCTTTGCAGGAGGCTAAAGCACCAGCTACCGCACAACATTTAATTCCAACAACACTCTGGACCAAGAGCAACAAAATCTCACTGCACAGTTTAATTTCTTCCTGAAGGAAATCTGAACGGTCATAACAACGATGAGCACTCAGCTCCCTGAAAAGCCAGCATTTTTTTCATAAACCTTTTTAATGCAATTACAGGAATAAAGCTGGGCGATTAAATTAAAGGCGTAGATTTCTCATACGTAAAGAAATAAATATTTCCCCTTAAAGGCAATCTAGCTTGCACACCAGAGAATAACAGCGACTCCGTACAAGACATGGATGTGGACTTTTATTGTTCCCCACAACAGGAGGGACAATTGTAATATTGAGCACTTCATCACTGTACACAAACTTGACATCTGCATCTGACTTTGTCATGAATTAAAAATGAACAGGAAGGCTTCATCTGATTAGAGTGTAACTGCAGTCACCATAAGATACACGTGGGCATCCCTCAGGTGAACAACCAACGGAGCTCAACTGTATCTTCCTGGGTTTCTTTTTCAATAATATTTTCATAATATAGTCTGATTACAATGATGCCTGCCTTTATTTATTTATTTATTTCTGCAGGAAAGGCAGTAGTAATTAACTTGTACCATGGCCTGCAATTTACATGTTAAAGTTTACAATGATTCTGTCATAAGGCTGTAATAAGCACAATTTTACAAGGGAAACTCAGTAATTGAGGGATTGTTTTGCTCATGGCTTGCTGCAAAACCTGGGTGAGCTGTTGCTCGCACTCCCTCCTGCTCCGTGCCAGCACACCGCCATCAACTCCGGTGTGGTTCAGTCTGATCTGCATCAGGGTGAGAACAAAATCCGTCAGTCTGGCTCCAGGGGAGCTGACAGCAGATCAATTTGCCTTGCTGCCTCCTCGATGACAGCCTGCAAGCATAACTAAACCCAGTCACAGGTATATAAACATACTCTGACATTTAATACAGAATAAAATACACCTTTAGAGGTGGTGGTTGCTTGAGCCAGTGCTTCACATATATGCTCTTTAGGGAGTGAACGCATGGTGTTTGTCCCAAATACTGTTAAACTTAATGGGTGAACACCCCTCTCCTTACTGACCTTGCATGCCTCCCCCACATGCTCCTCCAAGTCCCTCCCTGCCCTTTGCAAGTCCCATGCGCAGCGTTCAGCTCCTCTAACGTTAATATGTGAAACAGCATTTTCTAAACTACTGCAAACAAAACTATGCGAAGGATGAAAAATAATTAGCCACATCTCAGTGTCTAATATATTTGCATTGTTTAGACAGAGCAGTTAATCATTGGTAAGACCAAAACACGTTGTGTGAATTTGGATTATAACTAATACATATTGAGCAGAAGGTTATTAATTACATTTAAAGGGAGTATTTGATATAATTATTATTGAGAAAGTGAATGCAATTAATTAGATTACAATGCTCTTGCAGGATTCCTGTGGCAATACTGTGCAAAGAGCTGTTTACTTTTAGACTTTATTGTCTTTTGTTCAGAAAGTAGGTACTTAGGGCAAGCAAAAGGCACCATGAGCCAAAGTCCTGTACCCATTAACACTCCTGAAGCACTGAGCGATATTGAAGGGGTCAGCGAGGGTCTGCATTTTTTAACGGTTTTTAAATATAGGGTAAACTTTTCATTTGCTCGCAATAATTGGTCTCCTGAAATGTCACTTATTCCCTTGGGTTGGGAGTTGGCAAAGGACAGTCTCCATGTGGTCCCCACCTCTGGGCCCAAATCCCCAGAAAGGACATCTGAGGGATGGAATTGGATCCCAGATTTAATTAAAGGTGCAGTATTTCCAAGTGTTCCCTCTAAAATGACTCTTACCCATAGAAAAGAAAAGCCTAGAGCACACCTTTTTTATTTAAAAAGGCAACTGTATTAATTCAGCTGAATTTTGCATTGGAATTGCACTATCGCTTTGACAGTTTAGTTCCCTGAAAATTGCAATAAAGGCTCTGTTACGCTACATTTTGTCCCCATTTGTCTTGTATACCATTGACTTGCCTTTGGCACAATAAAAATAATATTTAAAAATAGTACTGTAAATGGATTGACTTTGACCTTCTGAGTATCTTGTCAATAAAATTAAAATGATAAATCTGTTTCAGAATGCCGCTGGCATAATATTAGAGCAGAGTCATAATCTGAAAAGTGACATTTGAAAAATGATATTATGGGGAGGGGTCTTATTCTCTGCCAACCGTGTCACATAAATATGCTCTATTTACAGTGCAAAGAGGTGATTTTTGCTAACTGCCAGGCTCGCTCCCGAAACCAGGTTGTGCAATTCCTGCGATGTGCTCTCTGCCTCTTACCTCATCATTAGCAATTAAAGATTACTACAGCAAGAAATTAGCTGAGCCTTCTGTTGCCGATGGATAAAGCGGAGCAACTCCACCCCGGTTTCCTCCTGTGACCCACTCTGCAGTGCTCACACAGCAAAAACGGACTTTGCCTCATAGAGAAATGGCTAAGATAACCAAGAAAAGGCCCTTTTTTCTACGTGATCAGCTTTTTGAAAATAAACAACAAGAATCACTGCAAGGCTTCTTTTTATTAGGTGATAAGAAACTACTGAATAAGTAGGGTTTTTTGTAAAAAAAAAATCAAGAGGTGTATGAAAATAAACAGGGCAGGCGTGTAAACAAACATATGTCGAGGGGCAGCAGTTTTGATTCAAACTTTGCAACACATGCCCAGTAACTCTGCTGCATTTGGCTTTATGGGTACACGCCTCAGGCGAGTCTGACCTGAGGCTTGAATATTTGCAAGCCTAACTCGAGCTTATTTCTAAAAACCCATGGTACTGTTGGTTTTTCACCAACATACTTTTTCTCTTTTCAGCATTTCTTGTTTTCATTATTCTAAGTATGTATTTAAAAGTATGTGAAGTGCACTTTATACTTGAGCATCAATTTATATTGTGATTAAAATGCATATAGTGAACTAAATTAAAAAAACATGTATTTTCATAGATCACAAGGCTTTGGAACCTCAAAACATTACTTGATTTCCAAGGAGGAGTGATTCAGATGTTAATCCCTAAAACTAGACTGAGATCACATTCAAAGGGTTAAGGTTTCTGGTTCTGATTCAGATATGATGAAAATCTAGATAACTAAAATCCTTATGTTACCAAGCTTCCAATTTTATATATTTAATTCCAAATTTGATCTTTTCCCAGTGTTTGCCTTGAAAATTAGCCCAATCCTAAACTGAATCTGAACATAAGAGGACGTACCCCCCTTTAAGCGGTTATTAACAGTAGCCAACTGAATTTACTTGAATTAACTTATTTAATCATTGTCCTTTTTCACCCCTTCCAGCTCCCGAGTGCTCCCCGGAGGGACACCGCATCCTCCGCAATCCTTACCGCAGCACCAGGTTTGACTCGCTGGAGCTGCAGCGAACGGCGATTCAGGACCTGGTTTGTGACCACTCCTTGCCACCAGGATGGTACCGTTTCATGATCGACAACAGGCCTGCGGAAATGCCAACGAGATGTGTCGAAGTCAGTAAAACTTAAGCACTAACCCTGGTGAACCTGAATATATCCTCTGATGTAATTTTCCTTTCCAGCCACCTGTATACTCTCATAGCCAGTAGACTGCAATGGGGATAGGTGAGTGGTAATGGGAAAACCACTTTTCCAATAATAATAGTAATAGTAATAATAATAATAATAATAATAGTAATAATAATAATAATACTGTCATAGTCAAGGGCAGTAGCCAGACACCAGGATCCCTATGGACTGGGCATTATTCAAACATAAAACAAGGTGTTTTCCAACTCTGAAGAGAGATCCTTAGTAATCCACATACGTCACTGTAAGTTACGCTTTCTTCAAGCAATTCTATTGCTTTTTTTTTTTCTTTCCCCATACAATTTATTGTGAATTAGGAATATGTCCTTATTATGAAATCAGAGGGGAAAAATCAGAAAAATGAATGTGAAAAGAGATTCTTCAGTGATACAGAAGGAAAAACTAAATTTGAGTCTTTTCCCGCTATTACCATTTCTCGTATTATTTAGTTTCATAAGTATGCTAATGGCTTTCTAGAGCAAAAAAACTCCAGCACATAAGACTACTCTCTAAAAAAGACAAAACAATAATTATCTGGTTTTATGTGTGTTTAATATGTATGACAATAACGTTTAACTTTTAATCATTGCTGCCAGAGGAACTTGAGACCTTAACTAAAGTCAATGCCATCTCAAGTAGCCCAGCTGCAGTAGGTTAGAATAATTTCAAACACACAGTTAAAAAAAATTGTTCAGAAAATAATAAACTAATTACCATAAATTACTTTAAAGATGAAATATTCAACCTAGAGTTCCAGGAAGTTTAATATTAGGCAGTACTACCCTAGCTGGAGAACTTTCTCAAAATTAGCAGACCACATTTCATATCCATTCAAAATGGACGTGTGAACTTGTCACGATTGAAGTATATATTAATAATCTAATGTTAAATGAAATGTTAAGAGATAATTGTTACTTCTGTGGGATTTCTAACTCTCTGCATACACAAACCATAAATCTAATTAACGTGAATAAATTGGCATGATTATTATTGAAATATTCATTTCATGGCAGGTCATCCTTGAATATCCCAATACATTATGAAGTTTATTTTTACAAGTTACTCTGTAAGTGTATAACTATTCTATAAAATTATTTAATTTGCCATTGTATTTCAGCAATTTTGAGTATGTAGTAATGCTTGACTGCATGAGATTTCTTTCCAACAATACGTGCTTTGTTTCTTTTAATCTCTTCTCTGGAGTTTTTTGTTCAGGTTTGTAGAGCTATATTCATTACTTTAGTTTCTTATCTTGTAACATAATTCTTGCCGTTGGATTCTTCATTATCCTCTGAATGACAGTAAATCTCTGCTTCGCCATGCTGATGAAGGATTACATCTGTTAGATGTCACAACTGGAAGAATATGCTTGCTTTTAGATCTTCACCTTCTAAATCTACCTCTACGTTCTATCTCTTCCACTTAATTAAATCATTGTTTAATTTGGTTTTCCATTTAATTTGAGCAAAACCTCTGGAATAAAATAATTTAAATTAATAACTGCACAGCTTCCACTACTTAATAAGCAGTTATTATTGGACATTCCAGCCTGGCTGGAGTGAGCTGATTTTAATTAAACAAGTCAAAGACAAAATCCTGAACAGATAGAAGAGAAAAGAGACCAAATAAAGCCCGACAATACAGCTGGAGAGTTAAAAAGTACATTACTCCAGCACCTTGTAAAATATATGCCTGGTGTTATCCTGTTGATACTGGCTGGAGACAATTAGCTGCTTATCGATGCGTAAGATTAACTTCTTAATTCATAGTAATAGTAGATAAGGATTCTTGTCACCCAATTGAGCTCAGAAGGGATTTAAACCATAATGGAGATTTAGAGGTCCTGCCCAGCTAGGAAGAGAATGGCGGCAGGACAAATGGCACGTGCTGGCTGGGCACAAGGGAGGCGAGCTCCCAGAACCGACCGCGGTGCCTGGGCAGGGGTAGCCGACTCCTTCAGACACGCTCTCAAAGCCTGTATTCTGAATCTTGCCACAAAAAAGCTCCACAATAAAAATGTGGCCCTGTCTGAATATTGTTTCATAACCACAGAAAATAGTATATTCAACAGAGAGCAGAACCAAGTCACATACAGAAGTTATGAGAGCCTCAGTCTACAACCATGTCACAGCTAAGAGGCACAGCTACTTTTGTAATGAAAAACAAATAACAACTCTTAAAAAGCTGCTTCTCATCCACTAATTAAAAAAAAACCAACCAAAACCAAATTAAAAACAAAGGGGAAAAAGGTAGATCAAAAACCCAAAAGCTTTTATGCCAAAAAAGAGTGAAAATATGAATTGTATTCCTGAGTTCTCCATCCCTTGAATCCAACTGCTGTCCATAAACTTATTCCTCCAGTGGCAAAATACTTTTTATTCAAACAGCTTTCCAATTTAGGCATTGCCTGCTGAAATTATCTGGGGGGTAATGAATGATGCTGACCTTCCTCCCTCTATTTCTTCCTTGCCTCTCCCCCTATGCTCCTGAAGGAGGCCCAGCAATTACTGGATCCTGGGCATGCACTCCTGGCCACAGCCATTTCCCCATCCAACAACAAATCCTAGCACAAAAGCAAAACAAACTTGCAAATTTTATATCCCAAGGTATTGAGGCTACTACCTACAGATCACAAACAATAGTTTGTTCTTCAAGAACTGCCAAATTCACTGTGAAAGGCAAAAACACTAAAGGAAAAAAGCCTAGGGAAGCTTTTACTAAGATTAAGGCACTGTACTAAGAGCAAGGAACAATGCACAGGCATGGCCAGACCTAGTAGTAAAATGACCTTGAGAGGAAAAACAAAAGTGACATAAAAATTAAAGCTCAACAGAAAATTTATTAAAAATACAGAGGAGTATTTAACAGTCAATATAGGAAAAACATACATCAGTTACAGAAATTATTATTTTAATTCAGGCTTCTGAATGAAAATAATATAGGGTATACCCATACGTCTGTATATGTGTACATATGGGCAAGCCCCAGGAAAGGAATGAATACTGAAAAGAAATGAGAGAGAACACAACCTGCTAATGTTATTGAAGATCTGTTCTACAGTCAGATAAACGATCAATCTGTGGATTACAGAAGAGCAGTGCACACTGCTAACCGCAATGCAAATCCAAATGCCATGCCGTTCTCATGGCAGGCAGGCCTTGCAACACTGGTTCACAGCTCACGGTGAAGCCAGAAATATGGCTGGAGACGCACTTCTTCCCCTCATTTACATGGGGGTAAAAACCCATAGATTATACTCTGCAACCTTAAGGAAAAACAATTAAGAATTTGATTATGTAAATACTAATTGGTTCTGGAGCCAGCAATAATACCCGTGACACCGCATGCATGAGTCGAATTCATTACTTCTCAAAGCAATGCTAATGTTTCCAGCTTTAAGTAGTCAATTGCAAACAGCAAATGATAAGCTAAAAAGAAAGGTATTAAAATCAGAATCACTACTAGAACAACTGTCACTGTCAAACACTTGTCCTCTGAAACAGAGGATTCGTGGTACCACATTCCTTGAGCAGAGAGATTAGTACAGATGTTACCGCACTGACCACAAAAATCACTGCGCACCCACTGCTGAGTGAGACACTCCAGATCTTCTGAAATGCCAGAGTACCTCATCAGCCAGCAGCCCTCCCACAACACCCATCAATACAAATGGCCCAGATGTATGGTTCAGCATTTATATACGTATGCATATGAAAATACGCATAGTGCTTGGACTGATAGGCACATACCAGGTGCGTACAGAGATACACACACACAGAGGTATGTACGTGCACAGCGCTGCATCCCGTCAGCTCAAGTTCAACCTCTCAAAGCAGCCACTGCTTCACTCCTGGTTTCCTCCCAGGCTTAAGGCAACCTCTCACTTGGGTTCACTTTATTTTCTGCAATCCTGTTGGCATGCATGGCAGGAGCCTCCAAGTGACCACTTGTACCACAGCGGAGGTCCGCCTGCCCCAGGTGCTCGTCCTTGCCAGCAGCTGAACGTGGTTGTCTGGAGGGAAGGGCAGGAGCAGGGCATTAGTTTCAGCTTTGCAGGTTACCAATCTCCAGCAACCCCTGGTTCAGGGACTTCTGGATTCAGACATGGATTGCATGAGACTTTAAAAGGATTTCTCTCCCATGAGCCAGTCCAGTCACTGTAATTTTTTAGCATCCAGAATCCTGCAGCAAGGATTTCTACAGGTTAGTTGCGGATATGACACTCTGTTTTGGAAATGTCCAGTAATAATACCTGCCTGTGACGGTATATCAAGATTAATTCCAATATCCTTCTTCAGAAATTTCATTCTCTAAATGAGCAAAACCATCTCCAAATTTGTAGGTAAATGTGGCATAAGAAGGACACGTTATGCAGTCAGGACTGGTGTTTTCTCAACAGCTGCATTTTTAACAATATAAATTTACTTATATATATACACACTAGGCTCAAACATAGGTTTAAATGCTAATCTTTGGTGTATAAAATAAGGTCATGTTAAAGCATGTCAAATCTAACCTGCCTATGATGCTTAATACTGTAGCCCCTGGAGAAGAAGATTTGCTTTTTCCCATACTCAGCTTAATTTCCTCCTCTACTTAACCTGTTGCAGATTATTTTATACTCACAGTCAAAATACAATAGCTCAACTGCTTACTATTAATTTTTTATTTTGTTTCAATTTTTATTTTGCTCTGAATCCAATCCTGCTTTGATTTGCAATTGTTTTACGAATTTAAAAGCAAGTGACACTTTCAAGGTATTATTTCTTATTTTCACTTGTAATTCTCTTTCTCACATGTATACGTGAATGCTCTAAGATCATAATGGTAGGTATGAAGAGGTTTTTTTTTCTTGTTTGTTTTTCAGGCATACAAAAAGCCTTCTGTAGAAATTACAATTACAGCCTCTGTTGTTCAGAAGCATG